AACTGTCCCAAACAAAGTTAATTTCGTCTATTCCACTCGAAAATACAACATAATAATTTAAGAACTACAATTTTTTAAATTAGTTTTTCACATGAAGTAAATCTATTCTTAAACAATAAATATGCGTTCTATTCACTTCACTTCACATTTTTCCATTCATTTTTTATCTTCTTCTATTAACATTATATTTTGATCTTTGAAAATTGATAGTCATATTTCAACAATTCGAAAGGTCTGCATTTCAACTGAATTTCATGTATATATATAAATACAAAGAGTATTGTAAAATAAAAATATCGAGACTTAAACTGGCCCAACTAAATAAAAAGCCCACCTCTCTCTCTACATTGATTTCCCAAAGAGGGAGAGTAATGGAGGGAAATCCAAATCTCACTTTTAAAACTCAATCTGAAAAAACAATTAGCCAAAAATTTACCCCAACATGCCAAATGCCACCCACTCAGCGCCAAAAATGAAATTTTTTCTGCTGAATATGGCGCCATATATATACATACATACACCCATCTCTCTTTCTCTTCCTCAACTCAACTCTCCCCTCACCATATACACAGAGAGGAAGAGGGAGTAGCAAACAATGGCAGACCAAGAAAATGTTGTAAGAGTAACTCGATTGGCCAAGAAAAGGGCAGCAGGAGCAATGGTTCAGCACTTGCAACAACCCAACAAGAAGAGAGTTGTGTTGAGTGAGATTCAAGATTTGTCTAATGTGGGTATCAATCAGATTGAGGACAAGGTGTTTGTTCCTGAGCCTCTGAGACCCAAATGTAAGCAGATTATTAAGAGGAAGGTGAAAAGCTCTGATGACCCACAGATGTGTAGTGCTTATGTTTCTGATATATATGATTATCTTCATCAAATGGAGGTTAGTGCATTTTTATTTACTCTTTTCCATAAATTTTGGGTGTTGTCTGAATGTCTTAATCTGTTATTATATATAGTTAATTTATTTGGGTGTTGCCTAATAGAGCTTGATTTGGTTTCTTATGGATGAATTTTGAAATGGGTAGTCTAAAGATTGGATTTTTATCAAATCTTGATTAGACTTGATTGTTGGGTTTTTGATTAACTCTGCGGTTTTTCGAATCAGATTGAGAAACAGAGAAGACCATTGCCTGATTACCTTGAGAAGGTTCAGAAGGATGTGAGTTCAAATATGAGAGGGGTTTTGGTGGACTGGTTGGTTGAAGTTACCGATGAATACAAGCTTCTTTCAGACACGTTGTATCTTACTGTTTCCTACATTGATAGATTCTTATCAGTGAATGTTATCCCTAGGCAAAAACTTCAGCTTTTGGGTGTTTCTTCAATGCTCATTGCTGCGTAAGTATAGTAGCCAAGAACTGTTTTTCTTCCCCGGCAATGGGCCTTTGTTTGTGAATCTAATATTATCTATTGATAATGATCAGGAAGTACGAGGAAATCAGCCCTCCAGATGTTGGGGAATTTTGTTATATTACAGACAATACATATTCTAAGAAAGAGATGGTAAAGATGGAGGCTGAAGTGCTAAAATGCCTCAAATTTGAAATGGGAAATCCCACAATCAAAACATTTCTCGGGTAGGTAGCTGTTTTGCAAGTAACTAGATGTGCATTTGTAATGATCTGTGGTTTCTCGACTGATATGACCGTTCCTTTTCCTGTGGTATGCAGACAATTTACTAAAATTGCTCAAGAAGATTACAAAGTAAGTGTGCAAAGATGACATGAACATTATGATTTTCAATTCAATTGTGTTCGCGTTAAATGTTTGCTAATTTTATTTTTCCCTTCCTTTTTACAGAAAAACAATTTGCAGTTTGAGTTTCTCGGCTACTACCTAGCAGAGTTAAGTTTATTGGATTACAACTGTGTGAAATTCTTGCCGTCTTTGGTAGCTGCTGCTGTGATATTCCTTTCAAGGTTCACATTACAGCCAAAGTCACATCCTTGGGTGAGGATTTTAATTTGATTCGAAGTTCACTTATGTTTAGTTTCTTGATATGTTGAAGTGCTGACTTAACTCTATTCATTATACAGAGTCTGGCCCTTCAACGTTGCTCGGGATATAGACCAGGGGATTTAAAGGAATGTGTTCTTATCTTACACGACCTGCAATTAAGTAGAAGAGGAAGTACTTTAACAGCTGTGAGGGACAAATACAAGCTGAATAAGGTATCATTCCGCGTGTGTGTTGATAATTGGTGATTTTGTTGTTAACACCTTCATAGTTAAGTAATCTGATGTGAACATTGTATGATTTTCGTGTAACAGTTCAAATGTGTTTCAACATTGTCTTCTCCTCTGGAAATACCAGATTCATTCTTCGAAGATACAAGACAATGACTACTTGGCCATTTATGCTTGGGAATTGGAATAGGACTTCATTCTTGGCTATTTTTGTTTTTGGTTAACAGTATATTCTATTAACGACCAAAATATGTACATTTACGAGCACCGAAGCAGTCATGGACTGACTGCATTTTTGGTTCCTTCATATTGGAAAGCTTGCTCAATGAATTGAAATCCTGCAATATTTCTTGTTTTTGGTTGATCTTAACTTCTTTTGATTCAAAAACGAAGAGGATGGACTTGCTTCTAGGGGTGTGCATTCGGTTTTTTGGTTTGGTTTTACACTATTCGGTTTGGATTTTCGGTTTTTAGTTTTGTAAAATTGTAACCAATTCGATCCAAAATAAATTTGGTTTGGTTTGGTTTTCCTCTATTCGGTTTGGCTTTCTTCGATTTGGTTATTCGGTTATGTCAATAATTAATAACATATATAACCAAAGTAATAATATTTAATCCCTTAAATATACTTTCTAATATAAATCATAAGTAAAACTTAAAACACAACACTTATAAGTATACCTATTATAGATGTAATTCAAACATAAAAGGGAGAAGACACAAGTACCCCCTAGACTATGACCGAAATCACAGAGACACACATTAACTAAATTAAGGTCCTATTACCCCCTTGAACTCATTTTTTTTGTAATTTTGTACACCTTTTGACTTATGTGGCACACCACGCGACTCCACGCAGTATATATATATATATAAAATTCAGTTTTTTCGGTTTTTTCGGTTTTTATCTTTTAAAATCCGAAACCAAACCAAAAAATCAAACAAAGTAATTTATTAATCCAAAACCAATCCGAAAAACCAAAAAACCAAAAAACCAATCCAAATAAAAATTCGGTTTGATTTGGTTTGGTTATTCGGTTTAATCCGAATAGTGCACACCCCTACTTGCTTCTTCATGATCATTTTCGCAACAAGTTAAAACTCACCCATCTACCCATAATCTAACCCGCCCATGACCCACAAATTGTACTACAATCTATTTTTGGATCTCGTGTAATTTGAATAGAAGAAAATGAATCTTTCAAATTTCTTATTTGTAAAAATGAAGATATTTTATGAAAAGATCGTAAAACTATTTATTTATATTTTGTAAAAGGCTAGAAAACAATTTATTAGGGAAAGTGGTCAAATATTCAACGGTTGAATGCTATATATATGTTGGAAGTTGACCATTTTAAGGTTAAAAATAAGTCAACCTCCTTGTTAGACGCTTTGAATTCAGTTTTTCCCTCCAAAGATTCTATTTTAGTTTTGTATTTAAAAATATTTTCATAATTCATAAATCTTAAAACTCTATTCATCGTTGTTATTATTTGTTGTGGTTATTGTCATTGCTCGATTCCTCTTCCTCACCTTAAAGAAACTTAATTTGATGTCTATGTTCATTGTAGAGGTGCATTTGTTAACTCTTTTTCATTTTATATTCCATTTATAATTAAAAAAAAAGATTATAATTTTATGAATTCTATTTGGTAATCTGTATAATTTAAAGTTTTACTGAAATATGTTGTTTGAAACAATTTTCGAAAACCATTTTTATGAGTCTATTTTGTTTGTCATAGTTAGCCAAGATGTTTAAATTGTATTATTGTGTTGAATGATTCTTGATTTTAGCAGAGTGAAATATCATCATTGTTCAGGTAGGAAACTCAAACACTTGATAATTTAGGTATGTAGCTCAAAAAATCGAGATACTTTAGGTGTGATTTTGACCTTTCTTTTATATATGTAAATGGTGGAACTGTCATCATAGGCAATTTCTGGCAAGGAAAATGGAAGCATAACTAATTAGGAAGAATGTTTTGCAGATCAAAAATCAGTGAAAACAATGGAAATGACAACGATTCGTACAGGCTTATCGAAAGACATGACAACATTCGTACAAGCAGACTTATCTTGCTTTCGAGAAGTCGTTCAACGATTAACAGGTACATCTGAATGTACTGATGGAAATCCCAAAATTGCAGCAACAACAAACATTTCGAAAGCACAAAAGCAACCTAATATATCAAAACTCCACCATCGCAGACAATGTCGAAGATCAGACATAGAGATCACTAATTCCCAATTTCAGCCCATCATCATTCCAAGTCCCTCAACTCGTCCAAATAAACGAGCTTCTCCAACCACTGAGATGATAAATAAAGTGCAAGAAGAGAAAGCCATCAAAGAAAGAAGGTTTTACTTGCATCCGTCCCCCAGGTCTAAACATGGAAATGCTGAAGAACCAGAGTTACTCACCTTGTTTCCTTTCATTTCCCCTCGTTGAAACAATGGATCGTGAACAATGAGTTGAATGATTTTGTTTATTTAGCTAGAAACTTAGTAAAGATACAGTTCCTACATTAGATTCTAATACTACAGATGATTTTTAGAAGCAAGCAAAAACTTGTCGTAATTTTTCTTTCAAAGGATTCGAGGCAAAAATGAGACTGTTAAGTTAGTGCTCAGTTATCATAATCAGTCAAACAAAGATACAAAATAGACACGAGCAAAATACAGGCTTTTCCCACCATTGAAATGCTTACAAAATGTTTATATCCAAACAAATAAAGATCACTTACTGTTAACCGAGCTGATTTAGTAATATATGCTTCCATGTAGGGTCTTTTCCACTTTCAGTCGTTGTCAGGAAAAAATCATTCTTATCTTTTATCATTGTTTTCACTCGTTGACATCTTCTTCATCACAATATGCATCATCACCGTCACAGTGTGTGCGTTCTCCCCCCTTCAAAGTTTTGTTATCATCAGTTTGAGAAGTTGAGAGAGTATTAGTGAACTCTGTGAATGGCACTATACTCTTTCTGGAAGGTGAATCTGCAGAGCTTAGATCTTCGTGGTCACTACGCATTCGAGTTTTGACAAGGTAGTGTGCCACAGATTTGTAACCAAGACGCAGTACCTGTAAACATGTTAACTTCCTTAGAATTGAATGCTGCAATCCCGAAAATCTCTATCCTCAACTCAAACTTAAATATACATAAAAAGAGAATTCTTTGTAATTATCAGACAAGCGATCTAGCCTTTACTGGTGGAATGAATCAAGCATAAAAGGGTCAAAGAGGTTCACCTTTCTGTAGATTGCACCAGTTGCTGCATACCCCTTTGCACGCCTGCATAGACTGCAATTGCATATTCCTCGGCAGACAGGGCAAATCCAATTTGCGTTTTCATTTGTTTCAGTGACGTTCTCTCCATACCTACATGATGTGAAAGCTCAAATATTAGATCCATGGACATTTCACATGGGGTGTAAGATCATCGGAAACAGTAGTTTTGAAGTAACACCAATACGGTCATATGAATTCAGGATAGAAAGTTAGCTACTAAAGGGAATACTACAGAAAAAAAGCTAAGAGGAAATCAAAGAGTTATCACCTCATGTACAGACAATCTCCACAGAATTGTCCTTGACCCAGCTTGCAATTGCTGCACGCAGTTCGTTGACCAAGAGTTTTCTGCCTGCAATTGTATCAAATATTTTTAGGAGTTCACATCAAGTAATAAATTGAAACAAGCAAAGGTTAGTAGACTGCATTTCGATCATAGAAAGAATGATGTTTTTTCATGAAATTGGCAGCAGAACTTATTGTTTTACAAAATTCTGAGTACTGATAGGAAAAAGTAAATGCCGAATCAGAGTAACACTGCAAAATGCATTAATGATGAACAACTATTTTGCTAGTTCTTTAAGACAAATATCATGAATAAGACGGTCTCAACTCTAGATGAATACAGCACATTACACATTTGAATATTCAAGTTGATATGCATGCTTGTGGACTAATTTCTTTTACAATATTCATGCGAGAAGTTCAAAAACGATATTATATTCAATCTTAACAAACAACATGCTTTAACCTAGCTTCCACAATGACAAGAAAAGCTTCAATTAGTCATACTAAATGGAGAAGAGATATTCTGATCAGACAACATAGTTTTGGTCATCTTTATTATCCCATGAAAGGAGGCCTATATTAGCCATATATATTCTAAGAAACTGTGCTCAAGGAACAGATATGACTAAATGATAATTCACCTTAGTTATCTTAAGCAGCAGAATCTGTATATATACAGCGTATTTCCAGAAAACTTGACAATGATTTATTTTGGAAGCAAACAACTTATAAAACTACTTCAAAGATACCCCATAAGATGCAATTCTTTTCGTGACTTGCACATTGCTACATTCAAAAAAAGTCCATTGTAAGTCAAGAAAAAATATGCACTAAATCAAACTCCAAATAATCTTTGGGAAAATCTTATTTCATAATCAAACACATCACAAATGCAAATTGTTTTCTATGTATTGCATAAATCGGTACCTTAAAAATAAATAAGCAATAGAACAACATAAAACAGACGATGAGAACAAAGGTTTACACCTGCACTGATGGCATGACTTGCCATTATCAGGATCATATACACGCTGGCCATCTTCACCATAACCATCAACACAGAGATTCCAAGCATTCTGGCAGTCACCTAAAAGCTTTTCATGTTCCTCTGTGTAGAATTCAGTGTTTTCACCTTCTCCTATATTAATCTCTACATCCTCTTTTGATATCTTATCCGTCTTGGGAATCGTCTTTTCTTTGTAACTAACTGGAGGCTTATCCTTCAACCTAAAAACATGTAAACATCATTCGACAAAGAAGATCTTTCCGGACTAGAAAAGGCAAGGTTTTACTATAATGAAAGACATCTCCACAAGACATTCCATGAAAAAGATGACCATAGGAAAAACAAAACATCATACACAAACTGAGCATAAACGAGCATTTGTTTGATTTCATGAAATATATACATAAAACTTTGCAATTTTCTTATCCGTTTTCACAATAAGTCAAACATATCTATTAGCTATCATGTTTTTCCTTTGATTTGCTTGAACAAGGGTCTTTCAGAAACAGCCTCTCTACCTCAAACTCGTAGTGGTAAGGCTCGCATGCACTCTATCAAACACAGAGTATGTTGTTATTTACATTTATTTCCAATCAAACACCAAAATATCTATGACTAAACATATTTCAGCATATAGGGAACATTTTATATCCATTAAAGACTGCAATAAGAACCAACCCAATACATCCTTTTCTCCTACTTTTTTTGGAAAATCAAAATCAGGGTCAGCCACTAAATCAGGCCTTTGTAGCCCCAATTTCTTTTTCATCCGGTGTTGGATACTACATTAAATCTCCCAACTAATTCGATTTTGAGACACCCAAGGACGATTATAGAGCAAGCAAAATTTATTTCATTTTCAGACTCGAACCCAAAATATCTAGTTAAGGAAGGATGAGACTCAATACCTAAAAGAGCGGCGAGGTGGGTCATCAATTGACACCACCTGGCGGCTGATTCGGGGAGTGGTGAGTTTCTTGGAAGGGGGATTTAGGTTCTTTGTGAGCTCGAGAATGCCAAGTTTGTGTAGTCTCTCTTTGTTCTCTTTGATTCTCTCAGCCCTTCGCTTCTCATAATCTCCTGCTGCTGCTCCGTCATTGGGTTCTTCTTCAGCTGCTGCACCTCTTTTGCTTCCCGCTTTCACCATTGTTAGCTTCTACAGCCCTTCTGAGTTCTGTATGTTACTGTGAAGTTTTATTGGATCGAACCCAGAAATAGGGAACAGTGATGGCCAATGTTGAAAGGGTAGAAAACAGCTCAGCATTTTATTTATTTTGAAATCTTAAAAAAATATATTATTGTTCCCTCCATTTTTGAGTTTCCCTCTCTTTTTTTTGGTACTAGGACTACACTTTTTGGTCCATAGGGAAAAATCACACCCCATAATTGAATAAAAATAACAGAAAAGGGTCAAATTGTCCCTGAACTATGCGAAATAGACCACTTATATCCTTCGTTATATTTTGAGATAAAAAATACCCCTGTCATTATCCTAAAAAACCATAAATACCCTCATGATTTAACACCCAAAATTTTTAGTGACGTGGCAAGCCAAATGGGACTAATCCTTCCACATAAGCATTGCCAACTAGGATTCACTACAAAAGAATTAGACCTTTAGCGGTGACACAAGTCGCCACAAAAGCCCAAAATATCGTCACTAAAGGTTTTAACTAATTTTTAACATTAAATTCTAATTTTGTGTTTTTTTCTTCATTATTTTTTAAAAATCACAAATGATATCGATCAAGGAGGAGTTTGAAGACACTATATGTTTTATTTTTATGTCATATGTAAATATGTAGTAGGAGATTTGAATCGAGAAGTAATTTTGATGATTTTCGTAATAAAATTGGATGTTTTTAATATTGATAGTGCATGTTATTTATTTTAGAAAATTAAGTTGCAACCAAAAATTAATTATCATATTTTTTCAATAAAAAAAATATGTACTAAAAATCACTCATAACCTTTAATGACAATATTTTGAGATGTGGTGGCGACTTTTATCGCCACTAACACTCTGTTTGGATCATTGTTACCCATTGTATTGTATTGTATCGTTACTATACCTACAATGTTTGTTTTGATTGTTACTTAAAATGTATTGTATTGTATTGTATTGTATTGTTAAATTTCGTTATTATGTAACAATGAAAACCCCCATTTTATGAAACAACCAATTTGGTGTGTTTCCATTGTTACTTAATTTATTTTTCCAATTATATCTTTACATAATATTTCATAATACTATTTTACCCTTTACCTTATATTATTTAATTCTAGTCAAACTTCCTACACTAAAATAATTAAGAATATTTTAGTAAATTTATAAATTACAATACAAATACAATACAGTCGAACCAAATAATAAAAATATTATTAAACAACAACAAACAATATAGCCTAACCAAACATTGTATCTACTATATAATACAATACAATAGAGTACAATAAAATACAATATATTATGAAACAATGGGTAATAATGATCCAAACAGAGTGTAAAAGTTTAATTCTTTTGTAGTGAATCCAAGTTGGCAATGCTTAGGTGGAGAGATTAGTCTCGTGTGGCTTGCCACGTCACTAAAAATTTGGGTAGTTAACTCTTGAGGATATTTGTGGTCTCTTGGGATAACGGCGAGGGTATTTTTGTGTAATGACCCTCATGGTCATTTCTGTGTCTTTCCTTCTGTGTGTCGTTTAGAGCGTTCCTATAGCGACCCCAAGTCATTTATTGACTTGCTGGGACTGACAGTTCGGTCACCTGGTCGTTCGTTTGGTCTTGGTGCGAGTTTTTGTGTTTTGGAGCTTATGAACCTTGAACGATCATTTTCGATCAAAAGTTCAAGAAGATGACATCGGAATCTAATTCTGACGATTCCATCAGCTCCGAAAGGGTCATTTTAGGCTAGTAGCATGGTCGTCATGACTCCCGAGGTTTTCAGTGTGAGTCAGTGCGATTAGGCGTTTTAACTTTAAGTTTAAGCCTAAGTTTGACTTTGGTCAACATTTTGAGTAAACGCGCTCAGATGAGAATTCCATCAGCGTGGTTAGCTTCGAAATGTCAAGTTTGGTCTAGATTAACCCTTCTTTTGTGTCTGGAGGTTTTCGATATCTTTCCGAGTCCTTTTGTGGGTTTTGACTTAAAATGACTTTTGAAAGTGGGACCCACTTTTTATTGAGATGACCTTTGATGGAAATTTTGACTACGCCGTTGAGTTCGGAATGTCGAATTTGGTATGGTTGCATATTTTGTTTGCATACATGGGGTTCCGAACAAGTTCGGAGCACTCCGTCGGAGTTTTAGAATTTTGGAAAAAAGTTGCAGAAAATCTGCTATTTATTGCAGAAAAACCAGAAACATTTCCAAAACTTCAAACCCTCATAACTCTCTCATCTCTCAACCGATTTGGGCGATTCAAAAGGCAAAGTTGTGAGATTTTTCAAGGACAACGTGTTGGTGAGCTCGGATAGTGATTTGGAGTCTCCGTTTGAGGTAATTTTCGAAAAATACCTGCTGCTGCACCCTTTTTGTGAGCTTAATTTTGGAAATTTTTGAGACTTGTTTTCTCAGCCATTTTAGGTCCGATTTCAGTGGTTTTTGAGGCTATCTTGAGTGGTTTTTCGAGGAGAACATTGTGGTATTGTTAGAGTTTACTGTAGACCGCCCATTTTTGGTAAATATGCTGAATTAGCTGCTGTCCTATTCCTTTAGTTCTTGAGAAAAATTTGGGTTTTGGTTGTATGTTGGTACTGTGTTGTTTTTGAGCCCCGAATTGTGTCCCGTCATGGAACACAAGTTCGGGGAGCTGTTAAGAACCTACTTTTGGGGTTAATTCCGGAATTTTCAGCGCGGGTCCCACGATTCCTGTTTTGATTCCAAAATTGACCCGTCTCCGTTTATTGTGATTTTGGTGTCTAAACGACCGTATTAACGTTATGACTCTATTTTTGATCGCGGGGCAGCGTTTCGAGGACGTTCGGAAAGGGAAAGCTCCGGAGAAGTGATTTTGGAGCGCGTGTGATCGGCTTACAGGTAGGCTACGGTTTTCCTCTCTTAGATTGAGCTCGAGAATGTGAATGCCTGTTGATTAGGATTCTTTCAGCAGCTACATTGGCACCTTTATAGAGCATTCGATTTAAGTTCCGGCCTTTATATAGAACATCCGGTTAGAGTTCCGGCCTCTATTGCTCAGATACCTATACAGAGCATCCGGTTAGAGTTCCGACCTCATATACTTGATACTTGTGACTGGTTACTTAGGTACTTCTGGTGAGCATCCGGTTCGAGGTCCGGCCTCCGTACTGTCAGATTCTACTAATTAGGGTTGGGGTTCTGGTTCGATGTTCTCCGTTCTTGGGTTCTTTTATGCAATTCTCTTTAGTTATAGTTATTCTGTGTATTCGTCGGGCTTATGGGGGTCCGTTCGAGTTTTTATTTAACTTGCGCACGAGTGTACCTTCTGGGCTTATGGGGGCCCAGTTAGGTGTAGTTAGCTTATAGATTACTTTAGTTAGTTCTTTGTACACTCATGTGCATTCCATTATTAGTTAGATTTTAGTTCTTGACTTCGGTTTGTGTATTCCTTCTTTTCATATTGCCTTTACTTTTCAAGTTCAGTTGGCCTGTGATACCTACTGGGTACCTGTTGTTTTGGTACTCATGCTACGCTCTGCATCTGTTTCGTGATGCAGGTCCGGGCACTAGTAGCCAGTGTTGATCGAGCTTGGAGTAGTTTGATTCGGAGATGGGGGTGAGCACACAACGTTTTGTACTATTTCAGTCTCCATCTGTATATATAGACTTGTCTTTTTCCTTTCGAGACAGTCCAGTCTCTGTTGTCCACTTTTGGGACTTGTACTCATTTTGTTAGTAGCTCTGTACTAGTGACTTCTAGGTTCTGGGAGGGATCTTTATTTGTACATGTGTTTTTGGTTTGCTTCCGCCTGTTTATATTGTTATTTGCCTACTCTTGTTTAGTTTCTACCCTCAGACCCATTACTTGTTGTTTCGGGTTACGGGTTGGCTTACTTACTGATGGGTTATAGTAGGTGCCATCATGACTTGAGAAATCGGATCGTGACATTTTGATCCCAAAATATAATGGAGGTTATAAGTGGTCTATTTCGCATAATTTAAGGGTATTTTTGACCCTTTTCCGTAAAAAGAAAAATGGTTAAAAATACCCTTCTACTTTCGTTTATGAAATTGGGTATTTTTGTTTAAGGATTGCTTACCTTTTGAATAGAAGGAAGTGGGAGAGCAGAGGTTATTTCGGTAAACCAATGTATGAGTTGACCCTTCGAATTTAAGGGCTCATGGGGAGTCTTTGGGAAATTTTGTCCAAAATACTTTCATAACAATGAAGGTATATTTGGTCCGATAGTATAACGAAGGATAAACGTAACTAATAATAAACAAAAGTAGAGGTGTGTTTTTTGACCCTTTCGCTAAATAAAATCCTATATTATTTCATATGTTTCAATTTGTTTGTTTGATTTTGATTTTACACGAAGTTTAAGAAAGTGTGTTTCTCTCTACACCATGATTTCTAGAAATTATTTTTCATCCAAAATTGTTTTTTTTTTTTCCTAAAAGTCATAACAGTCGCCACTAAAAGAGTGTTTTAGTGACAAGCATAGCACCGCTAATAGTTATAATAGTCGCTACTAAAAGTAAGTTTTAGTGACAAGGATAGTCGCCGCTAATAGTCATAACAGTCCACTAAAAGAGTGTTTTAGTTGCACGCATAGTCACCGCTAATACCTATAATAGTCGCCACTAAAAGAAGTTTTAGCGAAAAGTATAGTCGCCGTTAAAGTAGGTTTTAGTGACAAGAATAGTTGCCGCTAATACTTATAATAGTCGCTACTAAAAGTGTGTTTTAGTGACAAGAATAGTCGCCGCTAATATTGATCACAGTCGAGTATAGTGGCAAATTAGTCACCGCTAATACTTATAACAATCGCCACCAAAAGATTTTTTGGTGGCAAAATTAGTCGTTGTTTATAATCATAATTGTCGCCGGTATTTACCTTTCTTCGAATCCTGCTAACTCATAATACTTTATACATTGAACTATCTTTTTATAAATTAAGTGAATGTGAGGAAGTCTTTGTTAAGTACTAATGCTTATTTAAGTT